GGTTTGATTCTCCTGACCTTGCTGATAGGTATCATTTAATGTTTTGTAAAATTTTATGTGCTTATAATTATGTATGCATGTTTGTTATATTTAACCATTTCTCCAGGATTTATTGTCGAAATATTAATTGAATATTCTAGAATATATTATTGAAAGATGAACTCTCCACTGAGTTCAGGTGGGGAGTGTTGTGTAATTTGAAGAAAAAGGCTAGAGGGCGCTGTGTTGCTCGCTTAGTTGTAAGAAGAATAAAGTTTGTTCATGTTGAAGGCGGCGGCCTAAGAATACACTCTGTATATAGTAATTAAAATATTGTTAAAAACGTAAAAGTGTTAAAATTACTGAACTCACTGAACCACCATTATCTGACTTGGAGATGCACAAAATATTATTATACTCTGCAAAACCTGTTAAACAGATATCAGCTCAATTGCCAAATTATCGGGTATTGGAAAATTACCCATTTACTGTATCTGGAGTTAATTTCACTGGTCCAGTCTTTCTTCGTTCGGGAAAGGACACTCAACAAAGATCATGTATAACCTTATTCGCATGGGGAGTTCATATCGCTAGAGCACTTCATATCGACTTAATTACTGATCTGTCGATGAAAAGTTTTATTTTGTCCTTAAGACACTTTTTGGCAAGAAGAGGGAATTGCAAGGTCATTATTTCCTAATAATGGTAAGAATTTTAAGACCATAAAGGTTTTTCCCAAATCTTGGCTGTTTCGGACTTAAAACATTTTGTTGCTCTACATGAAATGACGTGGCAATTTATTCTTCCTCATGCCCCATGGTGGGGTGGGTTCTATGAAAGACTCATGAGAAGCATAAAGGACCATTTAAGGAAAGTCCTTGGAAAGGCTTGTCTTAGCTTCGAGAAAATGACAGCCATTCTTGCGGAAATGGAGTTGGTATTAAATCATAGACCCTTTACTTATGTAAGCATTGAATTAGATGAACCCAAATCACTTACTCTAACCCATCTTTTGTTTCCTCGTCAAGGGAATGTTAGCTATCCGGTGCATTTTGTTGAAATTTTAGTCAGTTAGCTTCCTACAAAGGAAACAAGGCTCGTCAAAATTATAACAGTCTAAAATTTTACATCAAATCTGGATTGAATGGAAAGATAATTATATGATGCAGTTGAGAAATGCACATAAATTTGGAAATCCATACCCAGGGAAGGTTCTTAAAAGAGGAAATGTGCAATTTTGCTTGAAGAGGCCGCTAAATCAAAATTTCTCTGGCCACTTAGTGTTTTCGAAGAGGTTTTTACTGGTCGTAACGGACACGTACGTTCGTATGTTATTCGTACTGACAAGGGACAATATAGACGACCAATCCAGTTCATTTATCCACTTGAAAATAACAGTAATAAAAAACTTGCTAAATTATGTGATTCAAATCTTATTTATTGCAACAACTTAAACTATTATGGCACTTTATGACCTCTCTTTTCGACTTTTACCAGAGCATATCTGTGATTGTCGACATACACCGGTGAGGGTCCGAATATACAATAATGTAGTACAATATTCGATCTTTCACCGACGTATTTGGTGAATCTTGATATTCTCCTGTGAAAGTTGACATTCTCCAATTTCCGTCTTTCACGGTAACATATACATTGATAAATTATGATTTAACATCCATGTGGCCAAGGATCCGATTTTTTCTACAGACAACAATTACTCATTTAAAAATCCATATTGCGTCCCATGCTATGTTATGCTTGGCCGGTGTGAGCATATTCACGCAGAGCAATTCGTAAAAAATTGCAAACAGCGCAGAATTACGTTCTGCTGCAAATCACTGACTCACCTTGGTACGTCAGAAATAACAGGATATACGAGGAATTCAAAATAGAGCAATTAAGGGCTCACTATTATCAGTTAAGTTAAAATCTAGCCATAAAAATTTGTAACAATGATATTTGTAATGTTAAACGACCCATGTCTATTCTGAATTCAAATCTAGATTGATTTTTGCTGGTCGTCTCCTCTTGTAGTGCACAAAATGAGTTCTTTTGATTTGCATATTCTCTAAAAATATTGATGATATTGTAATCTCTTATTGTTAAATTAATACAGCCTACAGTTGTATTATTTTTTTAGTATTGTAATGTATTCTTTATTATAAATATGATTAGTAGTAGTAATTAGGTCACCGAGGAATTCGCATTTTTTTTTTACTTGTATAAAGTGTTAATTTTCAGAATTCTTTCTTACCAGCTCGAGCGGCTTTCTACCCACCTAGTTTTTTCCCGTATCTTTCTCATACAATACTAAATTAAAAATTTTACCCACTTTGTTTTCGATTCTGAATAATATAAATTTGTTTCTGTTTATTGCGTTAATATATTTAAAATAGTCATACATTTACGTTGCGAGTTAATATAGCATGGATTAGGAAAGTTTAATTTTATGGTTGATAAGGGGTAAGGTTCTTGAACTTAGGAACTCTGGTGCTACACAACTTCTACCTTGAGAAAAGACCCTATATTAATCTTAATCGCTTTCCTATACGCTTTTACTTCTATTTTGTCTGTGTATGTTTAAAAAATGTAAAAAATGTAAAAAATGGAAAATATAAACAATTTAAAATATAAAATTATATGTTCTCTTCCTAAGGTCCCGAGACAGAGTCTCGGTAATTCGCTGTTAACTTTTCTATACTTTTAATATTCTCAATAATTTTTCCTTCTTCTTAAACCTTCTCAAATTATGTTGATTTCAGCTTAATTATAGTCCTTGATGACTTTTATACATCCTTTCTCAATTCTGCTTACTATTTAAATTTTATGATGTAGAGGTAAAGGGTGTATTACACCCTAGACACTTCGATATACTTAATTCTTGGATATCTCCTTCAGGGTTGACAGCAGGAAACCCCCTGACTATTGCAAAGTTGAATAAGATCATGATCAATAGTTGCTTATAGTAAAAATTACTGAGAATCGTACACTACTTGCATACGAACTGTCAACTTGTTATATGTTGAAAACCAACTAATAAATTTGAATATTTATTTATTCAAATAAATTGATTATTTGTTGTTATTATGCAGAAAACGGGCAAAAACAAAGAAGCGTAGCAAATGACGTCCTTCACCCTTTGTCCCGAAGAATTCTCTTCTCGTGTCTGTAATTGTAACTGTATCTGGCCCTTATATGTAACTTTATATGCCTTTCAGTAACTTCGAGAAAGGGAAGGCTCTGGAAATTTTTCGGCACCCGGGGAAAAGCTATATGAAACCGGAGCGAGCATCAGTTCTCAGTTCTTTAGTTCAGAGCTAACATTGGAATACTGAGAAACCTCCGTGCGAGCTTCACTCTTTTAAATGCATTTTGCATTGATTTGTGTTTACCGATCTTAGTAGTTTGAAGTGTAAGTAGTAAGCAGTAGTAGTGTTTGCTGTGTTCCTTTGCAACTACTGATAGTGTTCTCTCATACTGAGGAGAGGTGTTTGCAGAAAATTCCAGAACTGCAAAGCATTTTTTTGGGAAAATAAATTTTATCAAGCTATCATCGGTTCTGTGTGCATTCAATCCATTACGAACCCAAACGCACGCAGCAATATTCTATAACAGTGTTATTTCTTTATTCTGTATACTGTGAAAACTAAATTTAAAATAATAACTCTTAAACACACGTACTTTTAGAGGATTTTGATGGATTGTAGAATGTTGAAGGAAATAGTTTATTGTGAAAAAAATAAGATACCATGTGGTATAAAATAAAGATACCATGTTAAAAATAAGATACCATGTTAGTCAGAAAAAGTCATTGAATGGTTGTATTTGGAGACGCAAGAAGTGTAGGGCTGAGAAATCGATTAGGCTGGGATCTTGGTACGCCTGTAATAAGCTTAATTTACAGGAAATTGTTTTCTTAACATAGGAATTAATTAAGGGTACAGCATCTAATGATACTGAAGAGGATTTGACTTTCCTTCTTCGACATTAGCAGACTGGTGTTAATTTGTTAATTTGTTACCGAATAAATATTAGATCGTTTTGAATTGACTCCAAATAAAATTAGTGGGGTTGTAGAGACATTAGAATTTTTGGAAGCCAGCGAGATGAAAAATTAGCAACCGTCTTCGCCGGGAATCGAACCACGGACCTCTGGAATACCGTCCCAATGTGCTGCCGTTACACCACAAAGGCATGCTAGGAAAGTAGGAGAAATACCTTATATACTCCCCTTTTTAAAGGGCGACTAGGGCTTTAAGGGATTTAGTCGCCAAATCCTGGGCGCGGAGAATCATCATCCACAACCCTTTTAGTTCGGGCGCCACTTTTAGAGTCATTAGGTTAACTGGAAGCTGGAGAGATGAAAAATTAGCAACCGCCTTCTCCAGGAATATAACCACGGACCTCTGGAATACCGGCCCAGCGTGCTACCGTTACACCACGAAGGCACGCTAGGGAAGTGGGAGAAATACCTTATAACCAAACCAGTCACAAAAGTATGAAAACAAGATCGCTAATATGAATGAGTGACCAGCCTCTCTAATTTTAGGTAATGACAACGTACTAATTCAAAATCGTTTCCCTTTACTGCAGCGTTGCGTGAGATGTTGCGTGTTTGCAGTAAAGTTACTATTTGAAATTAAACAGGCACGCTTTAAGGTATGCTTTATCAAAAGCCGTTTGCACAAGACTTCAACAGGAAGATCATTTCATAATTTTTTATTCATATTTTTAATTTATTTTTTATGCTTATTCATCAATACAAGAAGAGGAAATTGTGATAACTAAAATTGTTTGAACAGTGTAGCGTAGAACATTTCATAATCATTTTCGTCTATTTATTTCATGCTATGTACTAAAACGACAGGAAATTATAACGAGAAAAATGTTTGAACACATTTTTTACACACAACCTACCCTCCAAAAAAAAAAAAAAAAAAAAAAAAACCTTTTGTGTTATTTAATGTCTTTTGTTAACTTTAGCATATATTACCTTCATCAATTTGCAGGGAAAAAAAAATCTTGTTGTCAGATGAAAACGGTAGCCGAACAGCATGAAAGCTGTAATAATTAATGTACGGAAAATCTCAGCTTTTGTTTATATATGTTCTTTTGTTAATTATGTGATTTCTACAGATCTAGGAGTCGATTATGACGAAATGACAGAAAAACAAGTCAGTGACTGCTTTAGGGAAATTACTTGCGAACTAGGTATGTACGCTAGTCAGTGTTATTTTCTTTTTAAAATAAATAATCATTTTCAACTAGAATTCATATTTTCAGATTTCAGTTGCAATATATCGCCAGTAAATCAGAAATCCAGAAATACAATGAAACTAGCTAAACAAGTATAACAAAATTAGAGGTAAATAATAGGTGTCCCATTTTTTTAAAGGGGTTCCAGAAATTGTTACGTTATTGCATAAATATTTCACCGAATACAATCACATCCGGATGCAAGACAATCGATTATAATATAGCGTAGCATGAAGTTAGGCCAGCACTTCTGCAGTACCATAGGTGATTGAGATATTGCTGAATGTAGCTTATGTTAAGGAAAAAGACAACTACTAGGCCGGCCAGAGCGCTCGGCTTCTTGAATGTCAGAGTCATTGTTTTCAACTTTCGGTACCAAATCTTCTTAGTGTCATATGATGCAACATTAGAACCTGACACATGATCTGGTGACATTCTGCAGCTGACTTTTTGCAACAGAACTGGAAGTAAATGATGGTTCTAATCTGGCAGTGTGATAGTTCCATTTCAGACACCTTATACTTAATGATAACGATATTTTTTTTACAAATTTCACAACTCGGTGGTCTAAAGCAAGTCTCTTTCTTTCAAATGCGATTAATGGTTTGACAAAATATGATTAAAGACATCAACGCGAACTATTTGCCCAGACGTGTCCCCGGTGGCGGAAAAGGTTGGTTAAAACCTGATATTTCCTTTTGTTATATTGCTGTTTTCTTAAGTAATTTGGCATAGATAGGTACCCCATGTTCTGAAGGTAATGAATGACTTTGCAATGCATTATGTGAAAAATTTGTTATAAACATTTTTTTATACTAAACGATGACAATCTTTTTTATAAGAAATGTGATGTGGTAACACTGTACTCTGTAAGCAGTGAGGAAATGTGTTAACGGAAAAAATCGTTTTCCCCAAATCGTTGCTCTCGGCGCTCGTGCCCCAATGAAGCAATAGCAGTCGCCGGATTTGATCATACCTGATTTTTTTTCTGTTAGATATCTTTCGAGAAAATGTGTACAGTGACAAATATTTCATTCTCAATGGGTTAAGGACAACATTCGCCATGAAATTCGGGCAGTGGCACCCGAATTTAAAATCCAGAGGCTTTGGCAGACACACTCACGAACTTGCAATTTCGTGTGGTGCCTACGTTGATGAAGTGGCTTTAATAATAGGAGGGGAACAAGAGACGGATCAGGGGGACGACATTTCAACAAAACAAGTGAACTCTTCTATGTTCGCTGCAACCAAATTAAGTTTTACTTATCCGAAACAAAATCCACGGCATTCATAACTTTCCATATAAAGTTGGAGTTTTTTCCCTCAAAAATTGTTCTAAACTATTTTGTTAATAGTACAGCATATTAATTTTATCCTTAATTGAGACAATTTGGAGTTTTTATTTACTGTTGAAACTAAAATCCTGTAACTATTACGAATCCCGCTGGAAACTTATCTGTACATTGATGATAATGTTTCTGGTGATCATTTTCTCAATAGGAAATTGTTCCCCCCCTTTTTTTTTTATAAACTCTTAAATATAAGCATGCTTTATCGAGTGTTTCAACAAATTTCCATTTGACAGCAACTAGGTGATTATCACATAATTTTTACAATTTATTATTTTTTCCGTAATATGCAAAATTTCCGTAATTTGCAAAATCCGTAATTTCCAAAATAAATCTGCTACTCTGCGTTTCTGTCAGAACACAACAGTAGCAGACGATTATATTGAAAATGCGAAATATTTTTCTCAAAATGCTAACCAAAAAATATGAATAGAAAATCGTTGTATGAACCACCATCTATATACTGTTCCATCAGTAAGTTCGACATATAAGTTAGCATACGACGAACAGTGAGTCTTTCTACAGGGTGATCAGCGAATAAGCCCTGATTTCAAAATTAAATATCTCTACAACAAAGATCGATAGAATTATGCGGTAAACTGTACGTTTATTAGCAAAACTGTAAAAATGGTGTACAAAAGTTATAAAATTTAGTTATGAAAATCGTTAACAGATGGCGCTCTAATCGCAATAACCTATCAATAGCCTTTAAAATGTGCTTCGATATCGAAAGTGATCAGTACAACTGTTGGCTAGTAAAGAGCCTAGCATAGAAAGTAAAATAATGCATTCCATTGAACAACGTGCATTTTGGTTCTGGAATTTCACCGATTAGAACACAGTGCTACGGCAACACGTCGCAGTTTTCAAAACCGATTCAATGTTCCAGTTGGACCCGATGCGAAAACCATTCGCATGCTCTTCGTGAAATTCGAATGAACTGGCAGCGTGGCTGATGATCGAAAGGGAAATGTTGGGCCTAAGCAAACTATAGTCACTCCTGAAGATGAGCCAAAGTTTCTGGATTTGTTCAGCAAAATCCTAGGAAAAGCATCCGACAGATTGCATCAGAGACAGGTTTGAAGTACCGAGCACACAAAAAATATTAAAAAATAGCCTACGGCTGTTTCCATACAAAATCCAAAGTCATCAGGCCATACCCATGAAAGCTGTGCAACAAAGGGTTAACTTTGCGAATCAGATTCTAACAATGATCGACAACGACAGATTTGATGTGAGCTGCATCTGGTTTCCCAGATGAGGCCCATTTTCATTTGAATGGAATCGTTAATAAACAAAACTGGAGATTTTGGAGTACCGAAAATCCACATTTGTGTGAAGAAAAAGCACTGCATTCGCCTAAAGTTATGGCATGGGACTGCGGGTATGCGCCAGAGGCATTATCGGAACCCTTTTTCGTACGAGAAACGATAACTACTGAACGTTACGTTACAATTTTGGAACAATTTGTCAAGCATTCAACTAAGCGTTGAAAGGATCGACCTAGGTATCGACTGGTTCCTGCAAGATGGGGCTCGACCACATCGAACAAATAAAGTTTTTCACTTGTTTCATGAATATTTTGGGAATAAAGTAATTGCATTAGATTATCCTCAATTTACTGACGCAGGAATAGCTTGGACTCCATATTCTCCCGATCTGAGTCCTTGTGACTTCTTTCTGTGGGGCGCATTGAAAGACGCTGTCTATCGAAACAATCCTGCTACTTTAGATGAGCTTGAATCGTTGATTGGTGCTGCATGTGATTGCATTTCCGTCGAGACATTGCAAAAGGTGATGTCAAATTTCATTGTTTGTTTACGCCACCTCATTGTTTCGAACGGTGAACATTTGGAAAAAATTGTATTTTGATTGCAAAGGCTGCTTTATTTTTTTAATTAATTTTTTTTTTTTTTTTTGACTTATTTCAGAGAAAGAGTTTTTAGTGCAAAGCGCCATCTGTTAACGATTTTCATAACTAAATTTTCTAAACTTTTGTACACCATTTTTACAATTTTGCTAATAAATGTACAGGTTACCGCATAATTAAATCGATTTTTGTTGCAGAGATATTTAATTTTGAAATCAGGGCTTATTCGCTGATCACCCTGTATATGCGCTCCGATAAGAGGAACGTGTTCATTTCAGTTTGTGAACTTGTTGGCTTGCATGAAGAATTCCTTTGAGGTCTAAGCCTCACAAAGAGAAGCGGTACCTTCCATAACGCTGTACAGACTTTCGTTCTACTTCGTCAGTGTTAGCTGTAGTGATCGCTGCGGTGCCTAGGTGTTTCACAACGAAAAAAGTGTTTGAGGCCAACTTTAGCTTCAGCTAGCCTTCCTTTTAACCACACCAAGATATCGGCACTCACGGGAGAGCACACGTACTAAATGATGAACAAAAATAAATGACCCAGTCACTATAATCAAGTTTTAGCGCTAGAACAACGAGCAGAGATGACTGCAAATATATGTCCCCCATACCTAGAAAGATTATTGACGTAAATGAAAGTACTGAGCGCATGGCAGGCGTACGCAAAGGATTTGGTCTTCAGTCATCGAGCGAAGGTGAGCAAAATATTATTTTGTCTGTGGGCTCATTCCATAATGAATTAATGCTAATCTCTTGCATGAATACATTAAGTCGATCTTTCTATTTTGTAGCCGTTGTAAACACTTTTTGTACTGTCCTTTCAATAATAGCACTTGTTGCGGATTGAATTCTGTGACCACAGATTGGATTAGAGCACTTAGTTTTATAATGTGATAGATAGAGATACGCATCATTATGCAATGTGTGTATTATCTTCAACATAGTCTTTTCAAATAAAAGCTTAATGTCCATGTAACCACTTTAAGACTAACTTTGCAAAAGTTTAGAGATTGAAGAACCTAATGAAAAGTTTACAATTTATATTTTGATCTGTAGGAACACATGAAAAATGTTAGCACCTTCTTTGTACATTTCAGAAGCATAATGAAAATCACTGGAAGTTTTAATTTCTTTAATAAAAGCGTATATCGGAAATTTTCATTTTTGTACTGCTAGTGCGAATCAAATGCCCTAAAAAGAAAAACATGTGAACTAAGTTTCAAAAGATATTGCTGCTGAGAGAACAGAAAACTACAAATAAACTATTTAATATTATGATGAAGTAGGTTTATTTCATGTTACTGCAAATAACAATGGGAAAGCCGTCCAAATTTAGCTGGGAATACAGTAAGCATCTAGAGATTCTCTAAACTTCAGTTAATCAGTTACGAAGCTATGCCATTAAGTGAAATGCTTTAATATTGATTCCTATGCAAGCATCTAAAAAAAGGAGTTAAAACAGCAGTGTAGAAGACAATTAAAAAAATATTTATTCAAGTGTACGCATTTTTTGAAGTACTATCTACTAAAGAAAACTATCCCGCGCTTCATGAATATTCCTGTCATCTCTTTTTGAAAGCATATATATATTTGCAAGCATCCGTTTTTCCACTGAATCATGCATACAAATAAATAAATAAAATAAAACTAGCTGAAGCTTTCAGATTTTATTTAGAATTTCCGATAGACAGTCTCGTGCGTAGAGATAAAAGTGTTTTGTTCCGTACAGTGTTGTCACTACTCGCTTTGAAATCCTTGAGTTTTTTAATCAAAATTTGTAAAAGTTTTATAAATTATAAAAGAAATAATAAAACAAATTCGAAATTCAAAATTAAGGCTTTCATGTACTCATGCTTGGGTAAAGGACTTCGGTATTCAAAATTTGATGGCTCTAGGTACTGTTGTATTTCATAACGTGAGAAATATCTATACATTATTGCAGATATTTCATTATTTAATTTCTTTAAATATAATACAGGGTGATAATATTTGGTGGCAATAATTTGAAAATTGATTGAACGCTTATAGTGATTCGACGCGAAATGCCGTTTTGAGACTAATGCCCATCTGGGCTAACTCCTCTTTGGGCTAATAATGATAGTAATAGATTTTGAGTAACACACTATAGTCATTTGTATAAGACGAAATAAATTCTCAGTTATTGAAACGAAATAAGAAATTAATCAAGTCATGCAATAAATATAATTGCTTAATCTATCTCTATTTTTCTTTAACTGACATAAGTTCGGAAGTAAATGGTAAATATGTTGTGAGGTTTATCTATTTATTTTTAACTAATAGTTCATTTTAAGTTTGACTTTCCTATTACTCTCTTTTCACCCACGCTTTTCATGCCAGAATGTACATGAGATAGCGAGAATTTATTCAGATTAAGGTAAAATGAAGTACTATTTAAGCAAAAGTTTCGGAAGTTATTTTAGAGCGTGTCTTCCTATTCCACGCCACGTTGTTCTGTGATTATTAGCGCCTTGCTTTAGCGGCGTTGAGTGCTCTAGCCATTTAGCTTTGTCTCACTGGTTTACTACAAATCAGAGCTCTTCCTGCGCGTTAAAGTATTCTGTGAGCTCTTGGGATAATTTACCACACCTTGAAATTGTTATTCGTTACGTATTTCTGGAAAGAAGTGTTAGTTTCCTGTAACCCAAGTTGGGTCATTTGTTAATTTTATGCTTGGATAAAAGAGTCTTATACACCCATCTTCTGATCTCTGTTTAGTTTCACATGGCTTGAAGATAATTCTTCAAGAGTTCTTTTAAAAATTTGTGTTTCCAATGAGACATAGACTTTACAATGTAATAATTCTTAAAGGTAATGAGAGGTGGACAATATTTTTATTATAGAAGCAAACCTTTTATAGCATAAGAATTTCTCAAAAGTATACCACATATCCAATATTTGATTAAAGCTGAAAATTGTTTCATTCATTCCTGAACGTTTTGTGTACTTTGTCTAGTACCGTGCATTCTAATTGCCTGAAATTAAATAAATTTGTTTATAATTTAAATACCTGTATTCGAAAAATCTTTAAAAGTATTAAAGTATTTCTTCTGAAATGATTATAACACTTTCACACATTTATACGCTTTTCCTTTCATCAGTAAAGCACCTTTTTCTAACGTAAGAAAACTTTGTAATTTTCTTTGTCTTATGAAATAAACAAGTTCAGAAAAGTTGTAAATTTTAGGAAGAATAATATTCTTTACAAGAATCATAGCGATCTTAAATTATATAAATGCTTTACAATATTTAAAAAATAGTGTTTTCTGTATCATTCAGTAAAATCTTGATAATGGTGGATTTTAGTTTCTAGAGGAAGAACTTTCGACGTTTTTTGTTTATTCCTTTAAATACTGTAGTAATTAATTAATGCGTTGCGAATTCATAGCATTTGAATAAGATTCTTCAAAGACAATCCACATTCTCTTAATTGTAAAGCAATGTAAGTTATACTTCAGAAATTTATTGCAAAACCTAACAAATATAATACAATAACTTTGATTAAAACGAGCAGATCCTCACAAAGCGAATCAGAGTTGCAACTTGGTAATGGCTGTGGGGTATTTGAAACAATAAAACCCCAAAACCGCAGTTCCTTAAGAAAAGTAACTAGCCTTTAGTATTATATAGTCATCAAAGTTCGCATTTATGACTTATGGTCAAAAAATCTTCAAATTTGTTTAATGAAATAAAAAAAAAAAATATGCGTACCCCACATGACTTCCTTGTAAGAAATATTAAATTATATGCAATTTTTCTTGCATTTCATTTAAACTTATTGGATTGAATTAAATCTACTTCGTCGATAGCGCATAAACCACAATAGAATAAATGCACTCTTTAAAATTCACTATATTTGTTTACCATAATGACACTCTGGCACTAAGTTCCCTTAACAGCGTTGCATTTTATTCATTTTATAACTCAAAATGCACAAAATTTATATCATCTGAAGAATTATCTGAAACTTGCCACATGTTTTTTTGGTCATATGGTCCAGTGGGACTAAAAGGATTGGGTCTTCCCTGTATTATGACTTGCCACATGTTCTATTCAAATATTATAATAAATCTGAACGATGTATAAAAGAAATTAAACAAAAAAACAAATTAACAAACACAAATACACACACACACAAAAAAAGAAACACTTTTTCACAGATGATTCAGTCTTTCTCATTCAATTAATTCAATCTTCACTTCGATACAAGGCATACATAAAACGATACATAAAAACTCAAAATTTCTATATTAAAATTACGCAATAAATATTAAACACTTATTTCCTCGAATAAATTCCAGAATGGATTAAGCATGATTTAATTCCCAATAATAAAAGAAGGCATTTGTTGTTGCGAAGCTTAGTTTCTTTAGATTGGCAACAAATCCACTATTCTGTAGTTTCAAATGTAAACAAACATGGCCGCCATGGCAATAAAAAATTAGGCTTAGCTTCACTTGAAAAACTTTTCTATTTTTGACAATTCCACAATTATTGCATGCAGATTAACTACAGACATAAAAATCCTAACCATAACAACATATCTCAATCATTTTTAAAGCAAAAAATGCGAAACTCAGCTCACTGAGCCTAGTAACACAGTGAATATATATATATATATATATATATATACATATTTATATCTTTTGGTGCGGCCGATTGCAACCAAAATGCGTTATGCACATCTACATGTTACATACAAAATTTCCACGTTCTGAGGCTACTCGTTTTTGAGTTATGCGAGATACGTACGTACATTCGTACTCACAGACGCCACAGAAATTTCCCTTCAGAATTCATTTAAATCAGGTTTATAATTTTTTGTTACATATAAAGTCATATACCGTTACAATTACATATAGGAATCAGTTACAATTATACAGGGATTGGACTAATGGTCGCTGAGTTTGGCAACATTTGACAACTTCTCGCCAAATATGGCGACAAAAATTTGTTGCCAAAACCATCGTCAGCGAACCATCGTCAGCTTGCCCCTGTAACCTTCCCGGCATTGCTTCCCTCTCTTGAGACCTTTCATGTTAAATTATGTATATGATACTACACTTTCATACATAATTTCAATAAAATATTTTTAAATATATACAAAATTCGTAATAATACATAAATTCCGCGTCACCAGTATGATATGGCTTCTAGACATTAAGCTTATGACTACTGCTATGCTTATAGATGACTTTATTGGAGGTTTCGAATCTCTGCAAATTTTCGTTTCATCCGCCTTTGAAACATCATGTTATTTCTAAATGGAAAAATCGGAAATTTGTTTACTCCCGGAATTTCTACAGCGTATGTTTTAGCTACGCGTATCGCAAAGTGAATTCATTTAAGACTTCACCGACAGTTTTACATAACAATGTTTATCTTTAAATTCTGGGTAAATATATGTCATTACGTACTGTATATTGCATCAGCTCATGTAATCAATTTCCGTCATAATGGGACAAATATTTTTGTGTCCAGATAAAAGGGGATTCGCATCAGTCACCTTGGAAATATGCAAAGTTTTTTGGTGAAATAAATGTAACTCGGAATTTTGCCTGATTTTAAATTTTATGGTCTTACATTATAATTTATTTTGTTCCCTTTAGGAGAAGAACCACGTAATAAGTTCATGGAATGCACTAATTACCTTCCTCCTAAAGTAAGTGTCTTATTATTTTTGTCGTACTTGTTTTTATAACATAAATACTTTACATTATAAATGCAAATTGATAAACCTCGTTCCATAATCTTTATTAATTTCCTAAACCTTTACATTATTTATCAAATTGTGTTTACCATTGTCCCAATTAGTCAGACACTGCCAAATACCTTTTATAAACTAACTCTTTCAAGTGATAATATATTTCCAATAGTAGTCTTTAAACGATGTTCCACAAAGCTCAAAAATTCTATGAAACTCTTGTAGAGTTTCCAAATTCAGAATTTAATAAATAAATAAATTCCGTGGGACCAGAATATCTGAAAATTAAATATTACTGTTTCTTTTTATTGTTTAAATTATTGTATTAACATGACATGAAGAAGACTGTTTTTTTTACTAGCTGTTTATTAATATTTTATTAGAATAACATGAACAATCAGTTTTTGTAAATATATACCTCCTACTCAGAACCTAAGTCCGTTTAGTTTAAGACTTTAAAGAAATGGAAAGCTTTTCACTTGAAACAATAAAATTCGCTAATCGCAATGCGAGGTAAAATGCAAGAACGCGTGCAGAACTTAAACAAGGAAATTAAATTATTCTTGTAAATGTAACAACTTTCAGACTAACAGAATTCAACTTTGCAAGATTTGAATGAGGAATAATAGATATGCAATTTTAATTTCCATATCCATGTTACGGAGCCTTTCAGCGAATTAAATGTAGGTCTTCAAGAACAATGTAACAACAATATAACAAGTAACATTATTGAATAAGAAGTCAAACAACAAAAATCAGAGTTATATTCGCAAATTTTCACAGGACTAGTTTCCATGGTTTTACCGAACCATCAGCCTCAGCTGCCAAAGCGCAAATGAAAGAGATAAGATACAGTGATTAGATAAGATAAGAATGTCTGGACAAAAGGTAAGCTACTGGCGCCATCTGTTGATGAAACGAGAACTAAACAATTTCCTTAAAGGCTGAAGGCAAAGATGGATTGGAATTAGGGTCGTTAACTAGTACAGAAAGATTTTTTTGAATGTGAAACGCCTCTAGAAAATCTAATTCACCAATGCAAGATGTTTTTTTTGAATAAGTTTGGCTGCAGAAAAATTGAAAGTGTGATTTTCGGACCAACAATGTTGGGCAATAGAGGAATTTTATTAGAATAACATGAACAATCAGTTTTCTGTGTTTCCTTTTTTATAAAATATGCCTCATGTTTCTTAACGCGAAATTTCAAGGCTCTCTTAGTTTGACCAATGTAAATTAAACGACACTAGCAAGGAATCCTGCAAATACACCAGAAATTCATATCCAGAATGGGATCCTTGAGTATGGAACTCTGAATTTTATTAATAGGAGAATAAACGATCCGAAAATTAAATTTCTGTAAAATACTTGCAATTTTATAGCTAATTGATGGAAAGAAAGGAATGACAACAGAATTCTTATAATCCTCTAAAACAAGAGTGTGCCTTCTGGTGTGTTGAAATGGGAATTTTTTAACTGCTTAATTAATAATATTGGGGAAAGCCTCTGTCAATAGCTACTGCTTTTAAATAATTTGGTTTTTGATCAAGATTCAGTTTGGAGGAGCAAACTTGAAGTGCACAGAAAACATAGGAAAAAAATTAAGCTAACTTTTGTTTAGTCGGATGGCATGATTTGAAATGTGGCGTAAGGCAAACCGATGAAGGTTTAAATCATGAACCACACTTCAAAAATGTCATCCGACTAAACAAAAGTTAGCTTAATTTTTCTGCTGAACTATGGTTTACTTGCATAAAAGAAATGCCGAAGACCTTTTATATAGGGCTTCGGTGCGCTTCAGCTAAAATTATGATTTATCTTTTACAGACATAAGTTTTTTTTTTTTTTTTTTTTTTTTTTTTTTTTTTTATACGGGAGACTTGAAAACTGTGCAATGCCTTCGCCCGGGCTCGAACCTGGACCTCTCGAATACGCGCCAAGTGTGCTAACTGTTACACCACAAAGGCATGCTGAAAAGAGGAAGAAAGTACCTTAAACACTGAGAAGCATATTTAACAGCTGAATGAATAAATTAATCCTTTCAGGGAACATGTCCTTTTAGACAATATATGCCTAGTAAATCTCCTACGTATGATGTAAAATTCTGGATTTTGGGCGACAGTGACATTTACTGTGTGTTGAGTATCCAACCATATTTAGGAAAAATGTCACGAAGTTTCAGGGAAAAAATCAAGGGTTGAGAGTGGTTTTCGACTTATCATACGATTTACGGAGAATTGATTACATTACATAATATTATTTGGGGCAATTTTTTTAAATCTTGTGATTTAGATCAAATACTACTGAGAAAAAATGTAACAATGATTAGCAGACTACGAAGAAATAAACTATCTACACTTACAGAAATTTTGTAAACAAAGGTACTGTTCAGCTTTTACCCTTACTAAAGAAAGAACTACTTGTATTAAAAAGGAAAATAAATGTCTCTAAAGTACATTGCGTAGAGATGAAAAAGTTGCACAAAGCGTTGAAAGAAAACCGGAGATCATCATTGATTATAATAAAACTAAAGGAGTTGTAGATACGCTAGACATAATGGTAGCTGCATACCCTGCAAATAGAAAGTCGGATCACTGGCCGGTTGCTGTATTTAGCAATATTTTAGATAAATCAGCACAAAACATTTTTATATTTTATTGTAAAATAAATAAATCATGGGAAAAAAAATAAATCATGTTGTCCTTGTCTGCGAAAAGTTTTGGAAAACTTGTAATAAAGCATATGATAACAATAGAATTTCACCCAAAAAAGGAAAGCAGCTAAAGATATTATTGGAAAGTGCCTAGACGTTCAACAACGCAATCACTAGTAATTCAGGTGATGGAGAAATTGGAAAAAATCGAGAAAGATGCCACTTAAACCAAAAAAAAACTGACAACAAAGGTATTTTTAAGAACGCAAAATGTAATTTTTTTACATGCAAAAATTGTTCCAAAACAGTTTTTGGAAACTATTATAAAGTGTATTTTTTTTCCTACGTTCAATATTCATGTTAATACTTATGGTGCATAGTATACCAGGCCAAAACAGTTTCTGAGAATAGTAGATTACAAAATAAATAAATAAACTGTTAAATTATATATTAAATTTATTCTTTGCAGAAGGCAAATTTAAACGCAAAACATGCTTGAGTTTTTTTTTTTTTTTTTTTTTTTAAACCAAGGGACTCATTTGTAAGTATTGAGTGCCGAACATTTTAGGGCTAATGAGTGGCATCATATAAACGAATGCAAAAATGCATGCAGCAGTAAAAAATTAATGACAAAGAAAATCGCGCTAACGAATGCAAAACAAAATTGCAGTAGTGGAAACTAAGGAATATTATGTAATAAATGATTAAATGCTAAGTGAATGTTAATTCGAAACATATATAAAAACAAAGTCTAGAGAGTGAAAAAGCAAATGAAAGGGGTACTTCGAGTCTTTTTTTTTTTTTTTTTTTTTTTTGTGGGAAGTCATTTAATCTAGAATGTTAAAAATAGATCTGGCAATGCTTACACATTCGTGTAGAGCAAGCGAATTATTAAATACCCATGCTATTAATTTGCATCAGCAGATTTACGGAGATGATGGTTAGCAGTATTTGATCAACTGAAGGGGTAGTTATTGGAGAACTTCGGCCATTCCGTAAACACAATGGACATTATCATGAAACCCGAAGCGCTGCAAGCATAGCTCATGAATGTCCCTATGACAGGTTATGTGAAATGCGATGAGCCACTGACTAGTTGTCTTCCAGTTTTAGGAAAGAATTTGCGTACTCTTCTTCCTGTTGCTTCAGTGTCTCAAAAGCGCTGTTATTGTTTATCGAGTTTTTTACTCATTACAGGCTTTTGGGTCAGAGCCTGAAAAGTGTACTTGCGTGAGGCTTGGTGTCTTCTCTTTTCGCGATCGTATTTGCGTTTTCATTCTTACTGATTCCTGTATGAAAGAAAACGCAAATTTCTGTGTTAGGCTGGCTGGTATGGCAATGAGTTGTTTCTGGATTTTTCAAACAAGAATATATTTGCTTCTATGTGCTTCTGTGTCTTGCAGAGTAGAAGCAGGCGTCTGCGTAAAGTATACAGCAGCGGCTGTTAGTTGAGGAGAAATCTAATGCGGCCTTGATGTCTGAGAGTTTAGCCTAAAAGACCGAATACCTGTTGTTGAGTTTCAGTGCCCGGGACTTGAACATTGTATCAACTTTCTTAACGTAGTAGCCACTACTCGCCCTTTCCTTCAGATTTGTCAGTATAAAAAAGACTGCCCTGATCTCCAGCCCGGTTAGAGGGCTACAGATGACACCTATTTCAAATTCGGAAAAAAGATATCTAAGGCTAAAAAACGTCCGTTGATAGTCCATGCAAACAAATGAGATATTCCATCCTGTTGTGTCTTCCCTTTATCATAATACTTGAACTACAGTACTTTCCTATTGCACTATGAGGTGCAATGGTAAAATTCCTTTAAGTGCGCTAAGTGTGCTCGTAAGCGATGTTGGGATCAACGACAAATATTTCGAAAGAATCATCTTTGTGCAGAGTCTTGCAAGCTTCTATTTTTATGGCTATATTAACACCCTGTATAGAAGCATCATGGAATGCAATATATGGCTCTCCGCTACTGTGAGATACCAAACCTTCAACATCCACGAGAATACTCTCTAAGTAAACGCTGTTAACCTCAACATCAGCTCGAGATAATGTGCAATTTACTTTTAAAATTTTTTGATGCGGAGATTCTATGAATTGCTGTCATACATCATGAATCCCAGATATTTAAGCCATCTGATAATTCATACGTTTTTGCCTTGTGTGACCTGACACTGGGGATTCGCTTGTGTGATTTACAAGGGCATATTAGCATGTCCTTTTATTTTAGCCTGTAATATGAAAGTTTCTGTTCGTTAACCAAGTTATAAACCCTCTAAAGTGCTGATCGGGGTTTATTTTCTTAGACAC